CGTTGAAGACAGCCTGTCCCTTTGCCAGCTCCTGGTCCGTGTCGATAATGTACTCGTCCTGTGCAAACCCCCTCATGCATGGCAACGCCCCCTGCTTGCTTGACAATGAGTGCTCGGCCTCTTCACTCTGAATGAACTGGAGAAGAGAGGGAGAGAGTATTCACATGTCTGCATCCATCTGAGATCACCGGAGGCTGAGTCTCTTTCAGAACTCACAGTGTAAAGTCAACATTAGAACATTCAAACATTAGAACACTAGAACATTAGAACATTAGAACATTAGAACATTAGAACATTAGAACAGGTCTGCACAGACTGAACTTGCTCAGGACTGAAGACATGTGAACAGAACCATAGGAAAACAGAACAGATGGTCAGCTCATTAACATGAACAGAGGTTGTTGTTGAAAATAAAGTCCAGCTCAAGAAACCTTTATTTATTTATTTATTTACAGTGAATAACAGCAGTAGACTGGCTCAGTTCATTCTGATCATCATTACGGTCTAGACATTTGTCTGACATGCCCCCTAGATCTGTTCAGAGCAGAGTGTCTTTACAGCAGTAAGACAACATAACTTATGAATGTGAACGTTCAGTGTTGATGAAAACAATTGGACTACAAGGTCCATTGTCTATCTGCTGATAATAATTACGTTCTCTAATGATAATAAATGTTATAATGAAGTCATCTGCAGCATTTTCCTGTGTCTGACATGATTTTCACCTGAATATTACACTGTGCTGTGACAGGTCATGACCCAGAGGATGGATCAGACAGCTCAACAAACACACTGTAACAAATGCAGTGTATTCATGACCCGATGTACTTAAGTCTGTCACCCTATAAAGAACCCCCCTACCCCTCTACCACACTTGGTTCAGCCCTCTGCGTCAGGCTGAGGAGGGTAACCAGCAGTGGGACGAGAAGAAATACACTCACTCAATATAACTGTATACCCTGAGACTGTGTGTGTGTGTGTTTGTGTGTGTGTGTGTGTGTGTGTGTGTGTGTGTGTGTGTGTGTGTGTGTTTGGCTGCAGCCATGTCACATGCACATTCACAGGCAAGTGATGTGCACACTCTGTACAGCCACAATGCAGAGCACATTGTGATGATGATGCTGATCAAAGGGAGTAATGAGGTTTTTAGTGAAGAGTCTGTCCAGTGTCTGTCGTCTCTGTGAAGAGCCTCTTACATCTACTGAGATCCAGTCAAGTGCTGCGTGGACTGAGGAGCTCCAGACCACCCTCCCTCCCTTGTTAGAGGCAGTGGTGGAGGACAGAGAGCTGAGCTCTCACCTGGTTCAGGTGAGACAGATCATATCAGCTGTGACTGAGATCAGATGAGGCAGTGAGGAAACTGAATGATCAGTTCACCATCAGTTAATGTAATAATTGACTGTTTATTCTCTAACATGTAAGAAAACAAGAGAAATGTCCAAGAAGTTAGTCCAAGATAGAGAAGCTGAACTATTTCAATAATTAATCAATGATCAATGATCAAGTAAATCCCTTCATTTCTACCTGAAACTCCATTAATTTACCCACTGTTAACATCAAGGTGTTTTTAAGAGATAATTAATGGCTAAGAACATATGGAGGTATTTTGAATGGTTTATGGGGCTTTTTCAGGTGTAAAAACCTCTTAACTGACAGAAACCATGAAACCATGAAAGGCTCAGAACGCTGTCACTGCTGTTCATGTAAACCAAATGATTTCCTCCAATAACATAAACACAAATACTGCTCAATGGTTAAATTACAATAATTCATCCAATCATCAAAATTGCATTGATCACATTGATTTCCTAAAATCGAACAAATATATATTATTTACATGATTACTGACACTCATTCTAGTATTTTCTTGGTTTTAACCAAGTCACCTTTCACACACGTGTCAGCTCTGGTTGGCTAACATGCTAACATGCTAACACATGTTTCCCAGATATAGATTAATCAGTAGCAACTAAGCGGCAATCTCCGAGACTGAAAAATTAAGCCAACACGGAAGAACCAAAAACACCTCTTTGAATAGCTGCTTGAGTCTGGCTCCAACAGTGAGTCAGTCCCCATAGACTCCCATGTTAAAATGTCCAACTTTACAGCAGAAATAAACATGTTTACAGCCTGGTACAAAAACAGTTTTGGTCTCTAGAGCTAATTTCCTCCTTCATGACATCTGTTTATATAACTCACCTGTTTACATTTTATTAAATAGTTATATTTATTTATTATTTCAAGTTATGGAGAATTCAGGGCATGCCGCTTTGAATGACAGATGGGGCAGGGCATGACTGCCACAAGCCGGCATGCACCAAAGTCTTGTCTTGACACGCGCCCCTCCTCTTTGCCCAAATCCCGGCTAATACAAAAAGGGGCAGAGTTAGGTCCTGGCAAGATGGCGACGATGGAATGGCCCATTCTGAGCTTCAGAAATCTATGGGTGACATCATGGAGGCTATGCCCATCTTTATTTACAGTCTATGGTAGCAACTACCACATTGTCAACACTGACCACCACATATTGATTTTCTACTTTTTACAATTTCAAATGAGTCAAATCTTATTTCACTGAAACGAACTTGACTCAGTGAGTCAGTGAGGGCTGATATTTGTTTGACACAAGCAGTAGAGCTGTGTGTATTGTTCAGTTATGTATTTGTTCTTGGCAAATACATTTTTTAGCAGTGCAGCAGCTTATATACGGCATTATTCAATGATTGATTAAAAAATAAATAAAAACTCTGTACCTGAAGAAACTCTTAGATAGTAGATTAATGAGTCGTTTGCCTCTCTGACCACCTGCAGGAAGCTAACAGCAGGAGAAACCAACAGATCTGATTCAAGTTTCTATTGTTGTTGTTCATTTCTACCTTCATCATCAACATGGATGTTCTCTGTCCAGTAACGTCTGATCTATAGTGAGTGATGATTCAATTAGAAAATAAAACACAAATTAATTGAATAATTGATCTGCCAGTTTCTGTCGCCCTCTCCCTCATACACACACACAGAAACACACACACACAGAAAAACACACACACACACACACACACACACACAGACACACACACGCACACACTTTGATTATTAGTAAGCTGGTCTACAGACACACACCACATCCGTCATATTCACATCTATAGATCCACAAGGCTCAGCACTTCTGTCTCTGTTACTCTGACATGTCGACAGGCTGCTGAGGTGGTGTTTGCTGCTGATAGCTGTGTGTGTGTGGGTTGAGCTTCAGAGTCCACATCTCCACAGAGGTAGAGGAGCCGTGCACGTGTGCACACATTGCACAGCAGCTGTTACCTCATCAATTATTTACTATTATTAATAATCCGGACGTGTTAATGTGATTGGTAATGCCAACAGTACAAACCCTGTACTTACTTCAGTGTTTCACTTATATTACAGTGTCACAATTAGATGACGCTGCAGAGGGCTTTTAATTTGAAAAGACAGATAAAATGGAGGCACAAGGCAACACTAGGTCATGTAGAGAGAGGAAGAGAGAGAAGGGTAGATTTAACTAGCTATCATTTACTTAGATTTTATTACCTATTGATTGATTCACTCTAACCATACTACACACACACACACACACACACACACACACACACACACACACACACCACCCACGTACGACACAACCCTTCACAGTCAGACTGGCACACCAGAACAAATCCTGGTGGACTGTCAAAACATCCATTAACATCCATAAAGTTTTTACTGGCCCTCCCTGTGTGCCTGTCCTTCAGGGTGAGTGTGTGGTCCAGAACTGGACTCACTTCACCAACGACACTGTCATTAGCCTCTGAGCGGCTGCCGTTAGCCTATGAGCGGCTTTGCTATGTTTTCATAGCCTAGTCTATTAGCTTAGCTTGACCTCTGTCTGCACTGCAGCTTTAACTCAGAGTTAGGGCTGAATGATATACAGAAAAAAAGTCACATTGCAATTATTTTCGATAGATATGAATCACGATTTCAGTGGCAACATGGTAAATTTTTGAATTTCATTTCTTTTCCAAATAACCATGTTCTCTTACATCTGGTCTGTAGACCCAGGCATCTCAGTAGCACCACAACGCTTCATTAATGGTCTGTAGTGACACATTTTACCTTCATCAAAAAACTGCACCTCCTGTGATTTAGATATTGTGTTGGCCATGTTGCGATTTCAATATTTTGATAAATTGTTCAGCTGTCCTCAGGATGGAGGCTTCACTTTGATTCGACAAATGAAATCCTCCAAAACACAGACTACATGCTGCTTAATGCTATGCTAATGACAACCTGCTGCATTCATGGTGTCGTCTGACAGCTGGATGTTTGTCTTTCTGCTGCGTCACATTGTCAACATGATGAAACATGAAGTCAGTCTAACTTCTGATCAGTGGTCAGTTAGAGTTGACAGTGGTTACACAGGTTGTGAAACAACAGGTCAAATGTTTGCTACGACTTTAAAGTTTCAGTAAATCTGTATTATTAATAAGGAGCACCAGCCACCCCCCATCCCAACAGACGGAGGGGGCTTGATAAGGAGGGAGCTCAGTGTTCAGACTCACTTCACCAGGTGTGACACAGCTGATAAAATCAAACCTTCATCAACCTCCAGTATCATTTCTCCCTCTGAAGGCAACAGGAGGAACATTATCTCAGCTAACTTACATGATGTTCTTTTTTCTCATTCATCATTATGACTGAATCATCCAGAGGTTTGATCTGAGCCCCTAAGACTGCTGACGACCTTGCTGTTTTGGAGGTAGTGTTGGATTTATTTTAAGAGCTGACCTTTGACCTGTTGGCACAGCACTGTCCTCTCTCATGATCTGTCCGACAGTGTGGGCCTCTTTGTGCCTTCATTATATTCTGCTTAAGCTACATTTACAACCTCTGGAGCTCACACGTGAACATACACAGTAACAGCAGTGGGTCAGTGGTTGGGGTAAGAGTCTGCCTCTGCCATAGTTAACCGATAAAAAAGAAATAGTGGAACACATGACTGCGGTCAGCCAGCTGCATGTGATTGGTTGTGAATATGATCAAGTACAAATGTTGGTGTGGGCCTTTAAAGGTTATCTCTGGTGATGGAGGCAGACTGAGAGCAGGTGGAGAGAGACACCTGTATGTCACCTACAACCTGCACACCAAACTCCATTTTAAAATCTGACAATTCTTCTTCCTTAGCGCCAAACCAAAGAGTGACATGATGGAGATGAAAACAGTTTTTCTCTTAATCACAAAATGTCCATCATAACAATAGGTTCATGTTCCGGGAAGAAGAGCCAATGACGGAGTTCCACATTCACTGAGAAGGACGGAGGATGAGGAGGATGAAGAATCTACACTGGGATACATTCAGCCCGCTCCTCTGAACTGGACCTGCTCCACCACAGGGCACATCACACTGCCGTTTTTATAAACGGTGATCGGTGTCTTCTCACCGCAGGACCCAGGGCTCGGTTCAATCAGGCTGAACCGGATCACAGTCCAACAACAGCATCGAGCCGGAGCACAAAGCCACATCAACTGTGTCGTAAATGAGATGCAGAAACAGGCGACAGCAGCAGCTTGTCATCACACACACACACACACACACACACACACACACACACACACACACACACACACACACACACACACACACACACACACACCTCGGAGACGGACTCTGTATTTGATGTGAATCGGTTTTATCACTGAGGAGCCGTTTGCCTTGTTTGTGTAGTGGTGAGCGGAAGCAGCGGGAGGAGCAGGTCTGGGATCAGCAGCCTTTTACTTCCACAGTGTGGAGATCGGCCCTGATTCAGTCCTTACAGCAGAGAATTAAACTGTGACTACAATAAAACGGATGCAGACTCGGGTTTAACCGCACTGGCTCCGCTCCTCTCTGGATCAGTATCTGCAGCCCATCAGTCTCCGCTCCAACAGAGGCTATACCCTGCTGCTGTACCCTGCTGCTGTACCCTACTGCAGCCTCCGACGGTCGGAGCTGTAAAATGAGAAATATTTTACCTGCAGGGCCGCCATCAGCATCCAAATCCACAAAGGATGCATATTGTTGTGTTCGTGTTCCTCCTCCAGAAGCGACAGTGTCCACCGCGCAGCGCTGGACGTCAGATTTTTAATTCCCGGTAAACCCCGGCGGCATCAGGCTGCCTCCCTCCTTCCACCAGCCCTACTCTCTGTCTGTCTGCTCTGTCCGGCTCAGCAGCACTCCAGACTGCCTGGGACTGACTCGACGCCGGCCTCAGTGCCGCCCTCTAACGGACAGTAGGAGCACTGAGCCCGGTTACAGAGAAGCTTCCACTCAGTGTGTGTGGAGTTTATAGAATGTGGATGGCAGCTGTGGACTATATGGGACTATATTTAAATGATAATGTAATTCCGTGGTAGGTAACTTTCCACATATGTCTGTGTTATTTGAGTAAAAACGAAAATGAAAATGCAATAAGCCAATTTCCCTTTTATTTTCACACACTCCTGTGGCTGTTAAAATGAGAATGGAAATGCTGTTTGACATTTCATTTTCAAACTCATACCCGCTGCAGACTGGACAATATTCAAATGCAATAAGCAAGCAAAGCTTTATTTATAGCACATTTCATTCCAGGTGGAAGCACTAAGCATGAGTTATCAAGGAAGTTGCAACCACAAAAACTATGTAGATAGTAGATAGATAAAACATTAGATGCAAATGAAAACATACACATAAATGATACATATGAATTAAAATCAATTAAGAAAATGAAATAATTAAGACCAACAACCAATCAATAAAAATGGTATGAACATAAAAATTTTCAAATAGTAGAAATAAAATAAAATAATAAGTTCTATTCAATAAAATAATAATAAGTCCAAGAAAAATACGCCAGATATGAAAGCAATCAAAGGAATGAAAGTAAAATAAAATCGTAAATTAAGACCAGCAAACCAGACTGGAGAGAGCAGCTAAAAATGAATGTTTTCAGTTCAGATTTAAAAGACAATAGCGTAGCAGCCTCTAATATCATTAGGCAGAGTGTTCCAGCAGCTTGGAGCATAACAGCTGAGGACAGTTTCATCCGTTTTTGTGGAGACCTGGGGAATAACCAGACAGCCTGGTCAACATGACCTGAGGGGTCCAACTGGTTCAAGCTCACAAGCATGTCAGATAGATACTGATGTTTAAGACCATGTATGGCCTAAAAAGCAAGCATTAAAATTCACTACCTTGTCCCTGTTTGTCTGTCACTGACACAATGGCAGCAGCTAATGGCTGGTCATGCTAAAACAGTAAATACACTTTTGATTTTCACTGTGACCCCAAAAGAGCTTAGTGATATGAAAATGAAAATGCAATAGATGAATATTGCCTACTGCAGAGCAGATGAAGAACATCAAATGTCAAATGCTGTTTTCATTTTCATTTTAACTGACACCTCAATGTTGCTTGCATATATGGAAAATAAGTTTAAATTGTTTGTATTGCATTTTAATTGTAAAATTTTAATTCTAAAGTTAACATCATATCATTTAAATATAGTTACTACAGGCTTCCATAGGTCAAACAAAGATGCAATGATCAAGTCCTGATGAAGCAACATGCCAGCTGTGTTCTATATTAATTAACTGGTCCACATCAGACAGTGATCAGTTTTTGTCTGCTGATCAGCTTCTGTCTGTGGACAAACATGGACTACAGTGACACAGCCTGGTTCAGAATAACATCAGTTACTGGAGCCAGAAAGGGAGGTGGAGCCAGGAACACCTGAGACACTTGTCAATCAAGGAAACATTTCTCTTTAATTAAAGGGGTACTCCAACAGTTAAATATTACACGTCCATAAAGTTTGTGGAACTGAAGGAGGATGATCCAAGACATATCCTGACTCTTAGTCCAAGCTTGTTAGTGTCTTTTCATTAAGACTTTCCTCTTTATTGACCAAATAAAGTTCTTTCAACAATTCTCCAAAGCTGCTCTAAAGGACAGGTCCCATCTGAAAGAGGTACTCCACAGAGCTCATTCTTCTAATCCAGCGAAAACAGTAAGATAAAGTCCTCTGTGGCTCTGAGGCAGCTTCCTGAACTCTGATGATATCATCAAGGTTGTTTTGAGGCAACTCTCATGACAAAGAGAGACAAAGAGAGATGAAGGCATTTTAACAGCCAGGAAGATGGAAGTTGCATTATGGGAAATGTAGGATCCACTGTATTTGAGGAGTAACACATCTTCTGCTGTTGTTTGATCACTGTGATGTTATCAGTACAGCATTATGTACACAAAGGCATGGGTCAAAGGAGCAGGCAGATTTTAAATCACAACTAAATAATATAAAGAATTAGGGCCCCTGGAAACTCACCTGGGGGACCCCACCTTTTCTGGATTTAAGATGAGAAATGTAGCTTTAAACAGGAAACAGTCAGGGTCACTTCTTATATTTATTGTAATTCTTTCTTGAAGCATTGATGCTAAAAACTCTACAAAGCTCCTCACGGCCCCCAGGCTCATCCTTGCTCCTGTCTGAGGCAAAGGTCAGTTCAGGGGCCACTGAACATGATGTAAAGCAGTGAGACATTCATCTTCGCTCTCTCTCACTCTGAAAGCATCTATTGTTAAATGATAAATCAGTCCTCCATTTTTTATGTTGATGTTATACAGTTGGATGACACCTACTCAGAGCGGTCATGCATAAGTGTGAGTCTCACACACACACACACACACACACACACACACACACACACACACACACACATACAGACCACCCAGCTCATGGTTCTTACACAATATTTTATACAACTTTGTTTAACCAGGAGAGCTGCAGCATTACGATCAAACCGCTTTAACATTTTACATCAGTGTCCTGATTTCCAGCCCCTCCCTCCACACAGACTCATTTTGAATTTTATTGTATGAAGTAGACGGAAAACAAGCTATGAAGGAACCTTACTGTAGAAGATGGATCTGTGTCCTGCACAGATATTTGCGCAACATCACCTGCAGCTTCACCTGGAGCTGGAGGATAAACAGCCTGTTACTGAGGGAAGCAGTGCAGCCTGCAGCAAGTGTCCAGGAAAGTGTCATTTCTCTCTCTGAATATTCACCATGTTGGAAAATATGATGATCCATGTAACCTCACCCCACCAGCTGACATGCAAATTAAAATCAGTCTGTTTATTAGGAACAGCTAGCTAAAGCTCTAATCCAACAGGTTTTAATGTTCAGTTTGTTTTGAAGCTGTTGCAGAGACGTGTGATCATTGTGGAGGATGTAGGGTGTGCTGCTGTGTTACATCGTACAGACAGGTGTTTCTGTTGTTTAGCCTGCCTTCATTGATGTTAATGGTGTGGACAAAATAATAGGAACACCTGCAGTTCAGCTCATTACAAACTGCATCATCCACAGTTCCCTGTTAGTCTGAGTTTAGAGGTGGAGCTACAATGCTTGTCATTGCTCTAGTGGGAAACAGCACATTTTTCTGATACTCTCACTTTTTATCTTGTTTCTCTCTCACTGATGAAACTGGTGTTTCAACCAGCAGCTGTCTCAGAACAGACTGTATTTTATTCCACCACTGCTCACTCAGCAGATGGAGGCTCCTGCTCCACTGTAGATACAGTTGGTCTTGCTGCTCTCCTTAAATCCATGACATTAGCTCAGTGTTCAGCAGATAAACAAACAACATCAAACTGTTGAACCTTCATATTTGTTGGCAGCTTCAGTTTCCTGCAGTTCTTCCTCCATAAAGACAGTGTGTAGCAGCTCTTTAAGTGTGCACCTCTGATTGGACACAAAGCTATATCACTTATTACTCATGACATTTATCATGTTCTGCTTGTTGAACACTGAATGACATGAACTGAGACTGAGTGTCACAAACATGACAGGGTGTCTGGTAGTGTGTCTGATATTTTTAGTTTTGTTATTTTGTTTTAATGGGATGAGGTTACGTTTCTGATGAAGGTGTTGAAACAGGTGAAACCAATAAACAAGACTTACTTACTTGGATGTATTTAAGAGTATTTAATGTTTATTTGTCTTTGTTCACTTTTGTTGCTCTTGTTTTTGCTGCATGTCCCCATGTATACTCCTGAACACTGTTGATGGCGCTGTGAGTGAGTTCACTAAGAGACTTACAGTATATGAACAAACATACTTGGCTAATGAAGCAGATTCTCACACACAGCTTAACAAAGATAAAGCCTACGATAATGAAGAAAACGTATAGCTTTGGTTGAATTCAGAGGTTTACAGACACTTTGTTAGTATGTGGTAGCATTCTCTTTAAATAGTTTAACTTGAGTCAAATGTCTAAGGTAGCCTTCACAAGCTTCTCACAGTAAGTCCTGGTCCATTCCTACGCAGAACTGGTGATCTGAGTCAGGGTTGGAGACCTCCTTGCAGGCACACCTTTTCAGTTCTGAACACAGATTTTCTATTGGATTGAAGTCAGAGCTTCTCAAATTCCCTGACTGTGTTGTCATTGTTAAAGTATGTTTGGAGTCATTTGTGACCGAGCTTTAACTTCTGTCTTGAGATGTTGCTTCAATATATCCACATCATTTTCCTTCCTCGTGATGTCATCTGTTCTGTGAAAGTGCACCAGTCCCAGTTTATTTTCATCAGACCACAGGAAATTTCTCCAGACAGTCACATCTTTGTCTCCATGTTCAGTTTGAACTGTAGTCTGGGTTTCTATGGCAGTTTTGGAGCAGTGTCTTCTTCCTTGCTGAGTAGCCTTTCAGGTTATGTTGATATAGGACTGTTTTACTGTTGTACCTGACTCCTCCAGCATCTTCACAAGGTCCTCTGCTCTTGTTCTGGGATTGATTTGCACTTTTCATCTCTAGGAGACAGAACATGTCTTCTTTCTGATGGACTGACACCTGCATGGTCACAGCCTGTAACACCTGTGTACTTATTGTGAATTATCTCATGCTGTCTAACAGACAGCTCCTGGTGGACAAAATATTCACAACAGTTGAAAGCAGTCATTTCCCTGCTTGATGGTCAACTACTTCAAACCATTGAATAAGTCCTTCACTCAGAGCTGCAGCTCTCTCTGACCCAGCCAGTCTCCCTGCCATGTGTTCCTGAGAATGTTATGTGTTTGTATTGAAATGCTTTTCCTTTAGTTCGTGTGTAGTAAGTTAGTATTTAGTATGTATCATTAATTTTGAGTTATGTTTGGATTTGCACCACAAAAACTGTGGT